ACATGTCAGAGGTGAACGATTGACTGTATGTAGGTTTGGAGGGTCCAAATACCTTCTGAGAAGGCACTTAGGATCCGCAAACACGCGCGCGGCCCACGAGGTTCGAGATGCCGCCCGATCGTGCGCTGCAACTCGCTGTGGGGACCGAAGACCGGGGCGGGGCGCTGTCGGGGCGCTGTCGGTCCCCCGGTCACCGTCCACAGCGTCCGTGGCCTTCGGAACGTCGCTGTGTCACACTGGCTTGGTTGAAGGAAGAGAGGAGATACCTTCAAGTGTGCAAGCAATATAGGCAATACAATACCAATGGTACCAAGCCGCCCCCTGTTGATTCCTTTCCAAGCGGACATCATTGGTTCCAACTGGGGGGTTGTGCCCATGTTCCCGTCCAAAGCGTCAGCCACTGAGGTGGGAAAAGCTTCCGTGCCGGTGGGGCAGCTCAGATCCACAAGCTTTGCATCAACAACGCCTATCACAACACCCGCTGCTTTTGCGACGTTTTTTGGCCATTGTTGCTATACCCAACCACGACTAATGGGACTGCCTACATTGGGGTGGTTGAAGTCGGGGTCAATACACCAGGACCCTCCAAGGGTGTCCAATGGACTACCCCACACTACCTATAGGCTTCCATTGGGCACCCCTTGGAGGGTCCTGGTAGAGATGCATATAGTGTTTGGAGGAGTGTTTGGCCATGGATTCTGCCACCTTTTCCCAGCCTCCAGTGTCTCCATTCGTTCCCCCGTGGCTCTGTGGCACCGCACCTCGCTCCATGCGGAGGTGTTTGCGAAGAGGGCACCTCCCAGCGCCCCAGGTGGGTCAAGTGGGGACGGAGGGACTGAACCACGGAAGGACTTTTCGTGCTACTGTTCGAATGGATGACCAGCACTACGAACGGCAGCTTTGGTCAAGCAAGTAGCTTCCTTGGACGACTTGGAAGAATGACCAGCTCCGGACGAAGACGAACGTCAGATCCCTCCGGTCCAAGCGCTGAACGAACGCGACGGGTTCGTTGGCACGGCCTCTGACGACGAACCTGACGGCCTAACCTGCAGGCCGTGACGGAAAACACCATCGAAGCGGGGCCCACGAAGAATAGCGGGGGCGTCATCGCTGGTGTTTCGTGATGATTCCCGAAATCTGCCCAGCCTTGGTACGGTCCATTGGAGACGTGAACGGCGCCAGGAGGGTCCAATTCAGAGAGTGGCAGTGGATCCCGTGCTCGGGTGGGGCTCTCTCGTCTGGCCTGCGGCCTTCCGGCGACTTGGAGTCACCTCCAACGAGATCCCTTGGCACGGCCATTTGGTTCCTCCGGCCTTTTAAAAAGACCCTATATATATATAATATATATATAATTATATATATATATATTAATATACATCCCTATACCCTCTAGGCTTCCAACAACCATTGTTAAGGATTTAACACTCCGCAACCAGGTCAACCAACCGGGTCAACCGAACTCTCTGGGTTTGCCCTGCCTGGTTCACAAGGCCCCTAGGCGATCGCCACCTAAACCCTCCCAAGATCCATCCGCCCGAGCGCGGCAGGCAGCGGAAGCCCGAGCGCCCCCGTGGGGGTGCCCGGAGAGGGCGAGCGATGGATGGGGGGGGAAAGGAGTGAAACCGAAGCTGTCGAGCCACGGAGGCATTCTTTATGAAGAAGTCATGGATGGGGATGAAGTAGACCTATAAACTATATATATATTAGACCATTATATTATATTATAGACCTATAGACCTATAGAAGAGGGATAAACAAGGGAGGGTGGGATCATCCAGCGACCACTCGACGTCGTTTGTTCAGCGCTCTTCCACTCAAGAGTCGGCGGTGCCAGGGGCTTCCGGTGGTGATGTGAAGGGTCAGTGCTGGGGAAAGGAGGGGTTGGAGGCTCAGGCGAGGTGGTGTTTGCCACTTTTGACCTTTTGGGTGGAGAGCCGTGGAGAGCCTTTGTTGAACTGGGGTGAAGGGATACAAAGCTTTTAATGCGGGTGTTTGCTGAAAAGGTATCTCAGTTGAACGCCCTGTCCGTCTGAACTGATGGCGGGGCCCTGTCCGTCTGCAGTCGGCCCGTCTAGACCCCACCAGGGCTGTTGAAATAGCGGCCTGCTGCGTTGCATATCGATCAGATTCACCACCTCAAGACAAACGTGACGTATGGAACAGATGGTCCCGGTAGCTCCCGGTGTTTAAAGCAGGCCCTAAATTGGTCCGGTTTGGGGGTGCCTACAACCATCTCCGGCGAGTAGCAGCTCGACCCAGGTGCCTGATGAGCCGGAGCCTCAGGCCACCACAGAGGCACTCCGCCTCTGCTGCCCAGGCCTTTAGTCACAGGTCGTCCTCGAGTGGACCCTCTGGTCCTTCCGCCCCCCTTTGAAGGTCCAAGTGTCTGATACGTAGATCGATACAAAGAGGACCGCCCGTCTGCACTCCCTCAGCCCGTCCTGCTGCACCAACGGCCTTCAACGGCCTGTTTTCATGTTCGACGGCGGGAGGGGAGTGCCACAACGGCACATCACTTCCGCGAGATCCTCGCACCAACCAAGCACCCCGAAACGAGAGACGTGGAGGGCCATGCAGAGAGGGATAGAGAGGGATAAAGCATGAGACACTCCCTGAAATACACTCCCTGAAGGAATCATGGAAGTGGAAAACAATTGGAGGAACACGCGTTTTGAATGACCATTTTCCTCAGGTGGTGGGTGGACATCCGCTCCTAAGTTCAGCCATGGATGGTGCCAAGGAACTCGTGAAGCTTCGTGACGCACCATCCGACCGTCCCAGTCTGACGAGGTTTGGATTTGGCGCTCAGGTCCGGCCAGTTTGGAATCGTTCGTGTGTGTAGAGAGGGTCTTCGGCATCGGCGGTGGAGAAGTCGCGCGTTTGACCCCGGTAGGACCTCCCCAGCTCTATTCTGTTCGTGGTCAAGGTTCCCCAGTTTAAGACCCATAGATACGTGACGGAAACATAGTTTCTTTCTGGTGCTGGCAGCTCAAATTCCTATTTTTTGGCTGGAGCTCCAGCAGCGCAGAGGCATGGTTGCCCCTGTGAAATCAGTGATGATTTCAATTTGAATCGGTTTTGAGTGGCCCTACTTCCCATAGCAGTTTTGCTGCAGTCACACAACAGTAGAGTTCGGACGAAATGGTTGTTTACTGAGAAAGAGGGGTCTGACCTAGGTCACTGACATCACCTAGGAGGTTACAGACATCACCTTGGAGGTCAACAGAACATTCACTTGCCAGCGTTTTCACATCGCTGAAAAAAACCTCGGGTCGCCATTTCGCAAGAGGTCGCAACCCTCTGGAAGTCGAATGATGAAAAAGAACCCGCGGTACAATCGATCGACCCTGAGCACTCTTCAGTGTTGCTGTAGATGAATCCATAGCTGGTCAATATGTGGAAACATGTGGAAGCCTTTCTTGAGTGGCAAGCGGTGTTTGTTCTTCCGGAGGGGGTCTTTCTACTGTATGTCTTTATGATGTGCACGTGAAGCTGCACAGGGGCCGCAGCATGGTCTGCAGGGGGTACTTCTTTAAGTGGGTCCGGTCAGTTAAGTTTAGTCGGGTAGGAGGTGATGTGGTTGAACTCTCAAGAGAATGAGAGCTGGGATGTTGCTTTCAAGCAAGCAGGCAGTACCTGAGATCTTGAGACATCAAATCCAAGCAGGTCAGCCACGCAAAGCTAGAGACAGTCTTCATTCGATGGGTTCGTCATCCCCAAAGACACCTGGAACTTTCTACAGGTTTGGGAAAACTTGGAGAAGTGTGGTAAAGTTCTGGGATTTGATTTTGAGACAGCCTCTTAGCTGAAAGCCTCCAAAAAACAACATCACAGCTGACACAGTTTACAAATATTTACCACACTATAGTGGTAGATCTTCCAATGGAACCACAATTTCCAGCACGACTGCGCCCTTTCTGAACGACGTATTGGCGAGGAGGCAGCTCCCGTAGTGGTGGCACCCACGCTGGCTGTGCTACTTGGAAGAGTGGCGGATGTGGGGTGTTGCTACATTGCGATGAACATCAGAATTGGAGGATGCCCACGGCGCAGTTGGGAAAAGAAACGGATAGATTATTCGAGAGAACTGGAGAACTGCAGATTATGACATCATTTGGAGAAAGCGATGTGACTGAAACTGGGAATGATTTTTTTGTACCAGTTGAGCAGATCGAGTGTTTGGGGGTCTTTAGGATTGAGTGTTCTTCTTCGTTGCAGGGCGAACGATGCCCGTCGCGACCTGCTGGTGGAACACGTTCCGCAACCACCGGCGGGAAAGCCCCGCGAACTAAGCGGAACGCTGAAGCATACGCCGTGGAACGCTGAAGCATACGGAGCGCCGTATTAGGGTATTAGGGCCGTTTGAACTGCTAAGACACTCCCTCATCATATATCCCATATGCAAGAAAAGCTGCCTGGAGGGCCGTGAATTGGCCCCAGGGGCTTCTGGGCCATGAAGTGAAGTGGACACCACCTATTTGTCAAGGAGCATGGACTTTCCATGCAATGTTCCACTTCCATGATTGTTTCAGGGAGTGTAAATACTTTAACCGGGGGCCCCAGATCAAAAACACTTCTGGGAGGGGCTTTCCATCATAAAACACGGGCGCTAGAATATGGAACATTCCGAAGGCCTGGAGTGGATACTGTATCGAAAATGACACTATGGTGAAGAACCACTGCCAGGCAGGGGGCATTTTCCAGAACTACTCCAGAACTACTCCAGAACTTCCAGAACTGGACTCATGAACTACTTCACGCCAAGACTTACCACTTACCGACTCTCTCGACCGACTCCATGGGTGCTGCGCGAGGCCCGCAGTCACGGCGCAGGCGGAGTCACCGTGGTGGGAGGGAAGGTGGAGGGGGAAGGTGAGGTGGGGTCACAAAGTACGAGAAGGCCACAAGAGAAGAAATGACACTGCCTGATCGATCCGGTAAATTGAAGGGAGACAATGGGAGAAACATCATGAAACATCTACCTGCAACGCCTCAGTGTCCTATAATAATACGACACTTTGCCCAGTTGACTGTTTTCAATGCCACTTCGCAAATAATCGTGAACTTTCACTAAAAATAGTATACTTTGGCTCAAAGAGGATCTTTGCCCATGTATGATCTTTTTCAATCATTTTCAAGCATTGATGCAGCTTCTTTGGCAGTGACACTTCACTAGTCAAGCGGCATCAAGAGCGATAGGCCACACATTCTAGAACAGTGGTGATTGATTGAACTGACTTGTGAAACATGTTCTCTCGGACATTTGGCATCTCAATGCTGCCAACATTCGCTCTCATGGTGCTGAATTGATCGCCTTGGAGGAGCGGATCACCGTTTGAACCATGCATGCATACTTCTGGATTTTT